TTTTCGCAGCCCCTCGTTTGTTGTCCTCTTCTCCCTCTCTGCCTACGGTTTACCGGCCAGTTCTGTTTGACGATATATATATTATGTGCAAGTGTGCCGCTTCGGCAGAAGACGGGTGTGTGGGCACTTGGCGCTGAACCACACAAACGTGGCCAACCTTGCATCTTCTACTATACTGTCTATCTCTATTTTTTTGTTTTATGGATGCTCTGTGATGAATCAGGGATGGAATGAGAGAGAGAATTGGGGGTTTTTAAACACACACACAGGGACTTCGCGCTGAACCACACAAGCATGGCCAACCTTGCATTTTCTATTATATTGCCTATCTATCCTTTTTCGTGATTGATGGTTTGTTATGATTGGTGGAGGAAATGAGAGGAGAGAATTTGGGGTGCTTTAACAACACACACACACACACACACACACTTTTCTCAGGGGTATCGCTAACTCTGGGCGATGTGGTGAGTCCTTATCCATCAGTCAAATACATGCTTGGCAGACTGTCGGGGTTCAACCTCCTGATGAGTCGGTGAAAGTCCGACGAAACAGTCTGGTACAGTCATGCTTTTTTTCAGTGTATACACTGTATAGCGAATATGACAACACACACGGAGGGAAGTCTGTGTCTCTGCGAGTGTAGTGGATGCATGGACGGTTTACAACATGCAACAAGAAGAAAAACTCGCTGCTCGTCCAGAAGCACCTGCCTGCACATCCTTGTCCTCCGAGAGGCGGTTAACAGAGGCCTCAATTTTCAGACAACTTGTCAGGCCATTTATAACAAAACCCAAGGGTCATTGTAACCAAATTTGTCGCCAATCCATAGAGTGGAGATCATACTAACTACTTACAAAAAACAAATTAAAAAAAGAACTTTAAAAACCTATAAAACAACAAGGCAAAAGTGTGTTTTCATGCACAATTCACTCTTTTCAGTTTTCAGGATTTTCAGGATTTTTCAGGGCTAGCCAAAACAGTCAACTCCAAGAAACCCAACAAGCACCAAGCTTGGCACACACAGACCTTGACCAAAAAWAAAACAGGGCAAAAAAAAAAAAAAAACAGAAAAAAACTAAAAGAAATGATCTCCAATCAGCGTCCAATGCACTTTTCACTGTTTTCAGGGTTGATGGGGTTAACTGGGGATGAAAAATAGTGTGGATTCCCCACCTTGTTTTCGTCCTTTTGATCTTTAGAGGTTGTGAGGGTCTGAGTGAAATTTGAAATTTCATTGGTTACAACTCTCTTTTAGTGCAAGTTTTCAGCAAGGTTTCTGGTCACCTGTTATGCCTCTGGTCATGGTCATTGTTCTTGTATGTGTCTATTGACTCTATTGTCAGGGTATGGCAAAAGCCTAGCCCAGGAGAACCGCTGAAATAGAGGCTGAAAAGAAATCTACTCACCTAGCTGGGGCCCAGACTGGACACAGTTTATGCGATGCGTGAAGTTAGGCTCAGGACTGTACAATGTAGATGATGACAAATGTTGCGTCAGTGTGTCGACAATATAGAGGGTGTAACTTGTAAGTATATTATTATAAACTCAGAGCTCTTCTGGAGATCTAAAGAGCTCTGTGATTACTATGCTAGTAACATACATGGATCGAATGACTGGGAACTGCTATTCATTTGTTATTTTGACATGTTCGTTTTGCGGTTTCTGTGTCTGGCTTTGCAGGACTGGCACTCTATGTCACAGTTTATCGTGGCCTTGCTTGGCAGGTCGGTTTTCAACTTTTCACTTTGATCTGATGTAAGATTTTGTCATTTTGGATCTGAGTTGGCCTTCTAAACTTGTATCGCTTTTAAGTATGCATCCCTCTTTGAGAGTGATGATATCGAAGTCTACTGTGGCATACTGCGCATCCACACGGGCCTGCAGGGGCCGACCAGACGGAAAATAAGGGCCCTCCAGGCCCTGTATCGTTTCAGCCAAAAAGCCTAAAAAGGAGGGCCATTTTCAGGCCCTCATAAAGTCGACCTGTCCTGAAACTTAGGCGCCAGACCAGGGTTAAGCGCAGGCAATTTTTAAGCCCGTTTCAAGACAACCTTTGTTTGAACTTCAACGCTAGGGTCTGGCACGATTCGGCATGGGCAAGAGCAGCCTCCCAGCCGGACCAGCACTATATAGTACTGGTCCGCCCTACAGGCTGCAGGGCAGTTCACAGGCACTTCACGGGCAGTGCAGGAGGCAGTCTTCAGGATTCGGCCGCGGCACTCTGCAGGAGCGCTGCAGCAGTAGTAGCTAGCGCTAGGAGTAGTCTTCAGCGCTGGGCGCTGTTAGGAGCTTAGAGTAGCTTCGGAGAGAGAGAGAGTTGGTGAAGGCCAGGGAGACTTACCTGTCGCGCCATAGCTCCAGCTTCGTCTTCGATGTACCTGCAACAAGGCGCCACCTTCACAGGTTAGTACTTGGCACAAGAGAGAGAGAGAGAGAGAGAGAGTTATTCTTCTTCCTCCTCTAAGTCCACCATCTCTCCCTCACCCTCTCGCTACCTGACTTCTCAGCACCTACAGACTACGGGAAAGAAAGAGAGATTTGTGACTTTGAGATTTGACGACATTTGGATTCGGACTCGACATTCGGACCAAGACATTGGACGAGGGATTATTTAGGGTCTATATTGAAGACTTGGTGTGTTGACGACATTCCCATCTTCCCCCTCTTCTTTGTCTGATTCCCTTCCTCCTCGTCTGTGTATGGTTTGGGACTGGCGCATTCTTCCTGTGTGAGCGCCAGGCCCCTTCAGACCTTGCGATGACGATGATGTATGTTTTGTCTGCATTGTGACATTGATTGGTCTGATCATTGGTATCTTAGCCTTTTTTGTATCCTGTACTATGTGAGAGAGGTCGGTTCTTGTTCTGGTCTGCACCGTTACGGTGTGCAACAGTTTGGTATTGGAGCGGACCTCTCAATCAGAGGATCCGCCCAATCAAGGAGCCAGTCAGCTCCCGCATGTTCCCTCCTTGGAGGCTTGAACACGGATGTGGCTGCTACGGGGTTCCCCGTAATACTATACTGACAATAAAAAAGGCCTGAAAGGCCGTCCTGTCCAGATTTGACAGGTAATTGAATTGGTTGGGCTTAAAGAATTAGCCTTATTAAAAAAAAAAATCTCTGCAATTTTATTTTATTTTTTCACAACTGCAGATATTAGCATTTCGGTCTTTTTTTTTGGTCTCACTCTGGGCATATAAGGTGAACTAGGGAGGTGGTCATATTCTCGGACTGGATCTATTCTTCTCTGAAAGTGGAACCTCCATTCTGTTTCGTGCAATTTTTTTTTCAAGATCGCATTTTTTTGAAAGCCGAAACTTTGCGAAACCTTGCCTAGATCTCGCTCATAGTACTCCTCCGTAATGCCTCACTGATATCAAATCGACAGATTTTCAAAGGGAAAAAAAAAAAGGGGGCGGGATCCTCTTGTTTTTATTTTTTATTTTTATTTTATTCGGTTGATTAGGACCGGGAATGGAAGTGCAGTTTGGTTACCTTCCTGCGTTTCCCTCCCACCCAGCCCTTTGCCTGCATTCCCGGTTTGGTAAGTGCCACGTCAGCATTGCCATGTCAGCAACAGTGCCACATCAGCAGTGCCACGTTAGTGACAGTACCACGTCAGCAGTGCCATTTCAGCAACAGTGTCATGTCAGCAGTGCCACATCAGCAGTGCCCCACCACCATGACGGTTTCAGTTTTGGGCATGCCAATCCAACTGGCCAACGAGTCCATTGCCGAGTACCGACAGCGGTTCAAAGCTCAGCTCGCACTGATCGAGGCCGAGGAACAGCGGCAGGTGGCAGCTGAGGCTGCCCGCCTCCAGGCTGAATCGGAGGCAGCAGCTGAAAAGCAGTGGCTTCAGGCTGCAGCTGACGCAGATGCGCAGGCCCGCCGCAAGGAGGCCCAGGATCTGCTGCAACGGCACAAAGCTGCCAGCGTCGACAGGCTGAAGTTCTGGCCACACGACACCGGAAGAGCAGCACAAGGAGTTTTTCTCCAAACTCGTGGCCCGGTTGGTTTACACTTCTAACCACCTGCAGTCCGAGTTAGAGAAAAAACACCAGGACCTGGCGAATCTCCGACGGGCAGTGCGGAACCACAAGGATCTGCACGAGGATGCTAAACGGGCAATTCATTCCCGTGTATAGGACTTGGAGCAAACAACACCAGGATCAGATGCTGGCGAACCCAGCAATGCGGCCTCGACCCGCCAGTTGGAGCAACGAGTTGACCATGCAGTCGCAATGCTCGGCGACATCAGCACCTTCGCCGCACCAGCCACCATCAGCGAGCAGCTCGACACCTTGAAGACCGAGGTTCGGCAACTACACCAGCCGCCTAACAATGATGGCAGCACCAGTGCATCGCGACCGTACAAGATGCCGACGTTTCCGATCGAGAAGTTTGATGACTATACGCATCAGGACCCAGTCGTCTGGTGGCAAGGCTTTACAACGGACATTGGGATTCATGAGGTCCCCAATCACTTGTACATCTCGCCGTTGTTCCTCAACGCCAAGGGCGGCTGCCAGATCTGGCTCAGCCACATGGCAACCACCCACGGCGTCCAGGTCTCCGACCTGCACAAGAAGATTTCTTGGGACAAGATGACGAAGGAATGGAAGGAGCGGTTCATTGTGGATGACACCTCGGCGCTCACCATCAACCGCCTCTTCGCATGGCTCAAGGCACCACACCGACACGCGATTGGCTCACAGAATGGCAAAAGATCGTGGCAACACCCGATCTCGAGTTGTCATTTTCGCATCTGCGCCGGGAGTTCGACAACTTGTCGTGTGCTCTTGAGCCTTGCACTTGGTGATCGAGAATAGTACACGACCTTTGTCGAAATCATCGACAAGGCGCATGAGATCATCAAGACCAACCGGGCTGCTACACACGAGAAGTTAGCGTGGCAGCCAGCCCATGTGGAGAAAGGAAAATTTGGTCCGCGTTCGCAGCCCGTCGCTGCAGTCCAACCGGACAACATTGTGGAAGACTCGGCAGCCACCCCAGCATCACACAAGGGAGATCAGGTGGCCGCTGTCCAGCCGCAAAGCAACAACAACTCCCGTGGAAAAGGGAAGGTGAAAACTGCATCGCCGATCGGAAATGGACAGCCAGTACCATGGGTCAAGTTCAACTTGACCTAGGCCGAATACAAGTACCGCAGCTGATACGGTTGCTGCTATTGGTGCTTATTAGCACAAGACCTCCCAATGCCAAGATCAAGGCAAGGAGGATGTTCGACCTCGAATCAGCTTGGGAAACTGAGCTGCGCGGGAAGTGAGGCGACTCCACCTCTCACTCCATCAGATTCGGCCGCCTTGCTAGTGGCCTCCTACACATTTGGGGAGAATGCGGATGTCGCAAGTCCTTGGTTCACTTACGAGGATTACGCTGTCCACTTGGTCCCACCGTTGGACCAGCCACTCCACGTGCAACAATCCACCGCATGCACGGTTTCACCACCATCGGCAACCGATTCGACAGCTTCGCCACCAACTTTCCCCGGGGATTCGACGTCATGGTCAAGACTTGAGAGACTCGACCCGTTGACGTTCGTGGACTTCCAATTGATGCCCCTTCCCCCGACCGGTAGATCGCCGAAACCGCATTGCAACGTGCTCATGGCACAATTGCAGGATTACTTGCACACTGTAGTACCAGCTCCGTTGATGGACGCTGGAGTAGGGGTTGTTGACCTTCGCGACTACCTTGCGAAGATCGACCGCGAGTTCAATACACAACGGTACGACACCAACGACGCACCATTGTTGTACGTACGCATTCAGATCGAAGAAGCGACCTGCAACTCTTTGATCGATTGCAGAGCTACTCGCAACTATATGAGCCAAGATTTTGTGGTACGCGCTAGCCTGGGGCCACACGTTCGGAGGAAGTCGCAGCCCACGCAAGTCACGTTGGCCGATGCTCACACGCGCAAGTCAATCGACCGGTGCATTGATTCCGTTCCGATGTACTTCGCCTCGCATGCAAGCGAGGCCGTATCCTTCAACATTTTGGACACCCAGTTCGACATGATTTTGGGCATGTCATGGTTGCGAAGTGAGGATCACCCTACCGTCGCACCGTTCGCGTTCGTGATCAGAACGGAGTTCTAGTCCTATGCACGGTGCCTCCACCTCACCTTTCGATCAACTGTCATGTGGTGTCCGCCGCAAGCATTCGAGCTTCCATCACCAGGGACGACATAGAGGAGATGGGGGTGTGTTTTCTCCACGCCCTCCCTCCCCATGACATCCCATCGACGGACGCATCGACGGACCCACGCTTCACCGAGCTTCTCGACGGCTACGACGGCGTGCTCGAAGCCCCACATGGAGTAGTACCGGATCGGCCCATCCGCCACGAGATCATCGTCGAGGTCGGGGCCGTGCCTCCATGTGGTTGCATCTACCGCATGAGTGAGGAAGAGTTAAGTGTGCTACGGGTACAACTCGAGGACCTTCTTGAGAAAGGTTGGATTCGGCCTAGCTCTTCGCCATACGGCGCTCCCGTTCTCTTCGTCCGGAAGAAGAACAAGGACTTGCGGTTGTGCAGCGATTATCGCAAGCTCAACGTGCAAACCATCAAGAACGCCGGCCCTCTCCCGGGCATCGACAACCTTCTCGAACGACTGGGCTTTACTAAATTTTTCTCCAAGCTTGACCTCAAATCGGAATATCACCAACTCGAGATTCGGCGGGAGGACCGTTACAAGACGTGATATGGGCATTTTGAATGGTTGGTTATGCCTTTTGGCCTTACGAATGCCCCGACCATGTTCCAAGCGGCTATAACGACGAGTTCCGACACATGCTGGACAAATTTGTGCTCATCTACCTCGACGATATCTTGGTGTACAACCGGAGTTTGGATGAGCATGTGGAGCACCTGCGCACCGTTTTGAAACGGCTACGATAAGCCAAGTACAAAGCCAACCGCGATAAATGCGAATACGCGCGGCAAGAGTTAGAGTACTGGGGCCATTTTGTGACGCCGCAAGGCATCCGTTCGCTCGCAGACAAGATAGAGGCCATCCGAGTATGGCCCGAGCCCACTAACACCACGAAAGTTCGCTCATTCATGGGGTTGGCAGGCTACTACCAATGCTTCATCACCGAGTGCTCAAGGATCCCTGCACCATTGACGAGACTACAATCGCGAAAGGTGCCGTTCGTATTCAGCAACGAAGTGCGTCGGTCATTCCAAGCACTCAAGACGGCCATGCTCATGGCACCCGTCCTTAGCATCTACGACCCCACCTTGCCAACGAGAGTGACAACTGATGCTTCCGGCTATGGCATTGGGGCAGTCTTGGACCAACACCACGACGACGATGGGCCACAAGGTGCCTCCCATCGACTCACTTGATGATGCAAGGAAGAAGGAGCTGCTCGCATTCGTGATGACTCTCAAGCGATGGCGGCACTTCCTCCTTGGGCGTCGTGGCGCGCAAGTTCGGGAGTCGTGGCGTAGTACTTGCAAGGTAGAAATCGCGTGTATTTACTCAATCGGTCAATGACCGTGAGGATGCCGTCGTGCCCAAAGCGGTCGCGGGGAAATGGGCCGGTGACGTCCATGGCAATGGAGAGGCCGGGTTCCCGTGGGATAGGCAACGGGCACAACTTGCCGTAGGGATTGCGGTTGCGGGGCTTGCTTCGTTGGCAAACTTCGCAAGAGTCGCAATACCACGTGACATCGGTAATGAGGTTGGGCCACCAGAATCATTGTCGAAGTCGTGTGATAGTCCGATTGACTCCGAAATGGCCAGCGAGTCACGAGTCGTGGTACTCGCCAAGAAGGCGAGTCCGAAGACGACGGTCTCGTGGGACACACAATAAGTCCTCGCCTCGCGAGTGGAGGAGCAAGTAGCCGTTGACTATGCGATGGTGGCTGGCCGGCGGGTGATCCGAAGATAACTGCGTATAGAGTGTGGCGTAATCCGGATCAGACTCATAGCCCCGGATGAAGTACCGCTGGAGTTCCTCGTCGAACACGAAGGCATGATGTGCCATAGCGCAAAGATCGGGTCTTCGCGAGAGTGCATCTGCTGCACGATTGGAGAGGCCGGCGAGGTATTTCGGTGTGAAGTCAAATTGGTCGATGAAGTACATCCATCGTCCGATCGTGCTGCTCACCGTGTCTTGTAGTAGGTCAATGGGTTGTTATCAGTGACCCATGTGAACTCTAGCACACCGGCTGGATTTGCAGCCATGGTGTACCGTAAGACATCGTTAGCGACCCCGACACTCGTTTCATGTCGGCATTCTGGACTTCTCTCATGCAGGAATTCGGCTCCAAAATGAAACCAAGTTCGGCTCGGCATCCACAAACGGACGGGCAAATGGAGCGGGCACATCAAACCGCTCAAATGATGCTTCGTACGCTCATCCGTCCGGATCAGAAGGATTGCGTTGACCGCCTCTCCGACATCGAGTTCGCCTACAACATTTCGTTGCGATCGACGTGACTCCATTCGAGTTGCACCACGGTGGCGGGAAAGGCCGTATCTTCGCTGATCTTCTCCTCCCACGAACTGCCGACATAGACGTCGCTTGGTCTCCCGCCTCCATTCGGAAGTACAGGTAATTGTTGACTCAAGCCCGTGCGAACATGCAAAATGCTCAAGTCCGCATGCAGCAGCAAGCCAACATCCCGTGCCATGTGCCATCCGCGCCGGTGATCTGGYTTGGGTCTCCGCGGAAGAGTTTGCGCTCGAACAGGATGTTTCACACAAACTACTCCCCAAGTGGTTTGGACCATGGACCGTCCTTTCAGCCGCAGGCGACGAGCCCGGCGGCCCATCTTTTGTGATCGACATCCCTCCGCATCTGCCAGTCCATCCAGTCTTTCACGCCTCGAAGCTGGCGACATACACACCAGCTAAGAGCGACGATTTCCCGGGCCGACGATCGTAAGAACCTCCGTCTATGGATGGTCATCAGGAAGTCGACCGGGTCATCACGGATCGCAAGTACGACAACAAGCCTCGACAGTACGAAGTTACCTTCAAAGCATGCGACCCTGACAACACTCGATGGATTTCACGAGCAGATTTGCAAGTATCCACACCGCTGTTCCACGCTCACTACGAACGACAAAGACTAGCTAAAGAAGCTTCACGACCTGCCCCTCCCACCCGGACTTTGGTCCCTCCCTCCGACAGGCAGCTTCGTCCTCGCAGGTAAGCTCGGTCTTTCAAGGAGGGGAGGGTGTGGCATACTGCACATCCACACGGGCCTGCAGGGCCCGACCAGACGGAAAATAAGGGCCCTCCAGGCCCTGTGTCGTTTCAGCCTAAAACCCTAAAAAGGAGGGCCATTTTCAGGCCCTCATAAAGTCGACCTGTCCCGAAACTTAGGCGCCAGACCAGGGTTAAGCGCAGGCCATTTTTAGTACCGTTTCAAGACAACCTTTGTTTGAACTTCAACGTCAGGGTCTGGCACGATTCGGCATGGGCAAGAGCAGCCTCCCAGCCGGACCAGCACTATATAGTACTGGTCCGCCCTGCAGGCTGCAGGCAGTTCACAGGCACTTCACGGGCAGTGCAGGAGGCAGTCTTCAGGATCCGGCCGCTGCAGTAGTAGTAGCTAGCGTACTAACCTGTGAAGGTGGCGCCTTGTTGCAGGTACATCGACGAAGCTGGAGCTATGGCGCCATAGGTAAGTATCCCTGGCCTTCCTCCTCTTAAGTCCACCATCTCTCCCTCACCCTCTCGCTACCTGACTTCTCAGCAGCTACAGACTACGGGAAAGAGACAGATTTGCGACTTTGAGATTTGACGATATTTGGATTCAGACTCGACATTGGGACCGAGACATTGGACGAGGGATTATTTGGGGTCTATATCGAAGACTTGGTGTTGACGACATTCCCATCTTCCCCCTCTTCTTCGTCTGTGTATGCTTTGGGACTGGCACATTCTTCCTGTGTGAGCGCCAGGCCCCTTCACACCTTGCGATGTCGATGATGTATGTTTGGTCTGCATTGTGACATTGATTGGTCTGATCATTGGTATTTTAGCCTTCCGCTGTGCTATCTTGTACTATGTGAGAGAGGTCGGTTCTTGTTCTGGTCTGCACGGTTACGGTATGCAACATCTACCCTGCTTCTTCTTCTGTGAAATGGAAAACTATTCCATAATGAATGATAGCATTGCTTCTCCCTCGCAGGTTCTCTTTCTGCATCAGCAACTGTCTACAACTAACCATTTTCCCGTCAGCCATCTGTCTAATTTTGCTCTGCCTTCTTCACCCGAATAGAACGCCCTGTCATTATCGCTGCATCTGGACTGAAAGTTGGGCCAAATGCAGCTATAATGACTGGGCGTTCTATTCAGGTGAAGACGGTAGCTCTCTCCCTTCATCATTTGAAAGAGTATTCTGGTCTAGCTCTCTCCCTTCATCATTTGATAAGTAAAGAGGCCTTTGTTGTGCCTCCCAAACAGAAACAGGCATCAGAAAAGCTTCATTATGGCATCGTGATGTAGGTGTTGTAAACCTGAGACATTACAGCTGCGATATCTATAAATGACTGCGTGTTCGAAACAAGAAAAGAATGCTGCATGCGTCGTACATCTTTTAAAGCCTTTGCTTGGAGTTCAATTGGTGTGTACGTGTGCATCGTCGTGGTTGCTAAACAGAACTCCACGAAAAAAGCATGACTGTGCCAGACTATTTTGTCAGACTTTCACTGTGTGTGTGTGTGTGTGTGTTGAGCGGCAAAGAGGGGGGCGGAATGGTGGCTCCATTGCACTGTGTTGATTATGTGGTACTCTGTGTGTGTGTGTGTGCGCAGTGCTCATCATGAGACGGTGAAGGCTCAAGGTTCCATTGGTGAGGTAAAGCAACTATTGGCCAGCATCAGAGGCCTCTCATAACGACTACTTTCTCTACTTGTTCTCGAGGTTCGCACGGGGGTTTTCATGTCTGACTCAATCTGAGCATTAATAAGAATCTGTTTCTAGAAGGGCCAACAGCCTTGAGGTGTCACTATCAAACTGACCAGTGACAGGCAATTCAAGAGTTATTTTGTTCGACTTGTCTTCAGGATTCTAATCCAGGTCCGTGTATTGAGAGCTGAGTGGTGTACCCTTCTGCAACATGGTCTGGGTGAGATGGTATTCTGTTTTATGACCTGGCAGCGGTGGGGAGACTGTCCTGACGCTCCTCAGAATAGGCCCAAAAGGGTCTATAGAGAAGCATTTTCAAATGCAAGGAAGATGCGCAATAGCGAACTTCAGAAATCAAACAGCATCATACACATAACACCAGATAGTCGTGACCTCGAACCAATAGCAGAATTGCATCATGAGTTTCACCAAATAAGAGCACACCAAAAGCTCATAATTGACAATGCTGGAATAGTCTCATCATCATCAACGAAGAACCAATGTTGATATCCTATCTGGCGCTCAGCGCCCAGACCACGAATGGCAGATCCTATCTAGCCTATACTACAATGCCGCTGATGACGTCAATAGCTTCCCAAGTACGAGCAGATCTCGGCCAATGCCGCACGCCTCAAGCACCAGGTATGTCTCTCGTATCACTCAACCTCGTTCCCCAACTCACAGATGCCACTTCCACCCAAGGACCACCATGCACCCCATCCTGCATACAGCAGCGCAGCTCAGCTATGGCTGCCTGCTCCTTCTAGCTCGCCCGTGAGCGCATGAGCCTGGCCAGCGTTAGCGCAGCAGCGTTTGCGCAGCATGCAGGCAGTGTCCGAATGTCCAATGCGTGGGAGGCCCTTCCCTATATCGAAGTGGCCTGCTGCTGCGTGCTGTGCTGCGGTACTGGGCCCCGGCCCAGAAGCTTCCGGTAGGCCCAGGGAGGCTGAGCCTCAGTCCAAACGAATCAGACCCAGGCCACCGACAGTTACCAGTGCCCGACTTCCTATAGTCTGAGTTGGGTCCATGCTGCGTATCTCGCCCAGGGTCTGACCGAGATACATTTGATAAAGGAGGCCAGGGACTGGGCGCCTTCAACCAACTGGTGCTCCGCAACTGCGTGAATTTTACCCCAGTTGCGAAGTAGTCCAAAATAGGCCTCTTGTCGTCTGTCGAGCCTGCCTTCACTTAGGGCGGCCGACCTGTTGCAAATAAGGGCCCGGTACGGCTTATCGAGGCCTTGTGCCTCACACAAATTTAAAAGATTTGAAAAACCCAACCGTTTGCTCATTTCGGTGCACTCTGGACTGACACGCCGCTAAACAGATGGGAGTATCCTCAGATTCCTCACCCATGAAAGAGAAAAAGAAAACTCGAATCTCTCCCCATATTCAAGGTAATAAAAGAAAAAAAGGAGAAAAGCTCTTGGTATAGTCCACACTAGAATATCATCCTCTCGACTTCCGGGGCAAGGTCTTGCCCCGGTCACATGTGGTGGCCGTATAGCGATGTCCTTATTTGTTTCTCTGTATGCCCGCAAGAAGTGTATTTGTACTCACACCTCGGCCTGCTCTGGTTAAGGATGTGCAATGTGCACCAATCACGAAGGCCTGATCAAATGATATAAGAACATACATTCCCATTTATAGCATTTTGACCGAGGACTTGCATCCGCACGGGATGCAACCACTCCCTCTTTTGTGCAGATCGAGCTAAACAGCCATTGGCTAAAATCTGATTTCCTGGACAATGTTGTAGTCTTCGAGGATGAATTGACGGGCCTCTGGCGCTTAGCTACCATCTTCACTATCATAGAGTGCATGTCCATCATAGCTGTATTTGGGTTTTACTTTCGGTCTAGATACTTCAACAATGAGCATGCGTTCTATTTAGGTGACGACGGTAGGTCGTATAACTCGACGGATGTGGGTAAATTTTGTCGGTGTAGAGCCAGATCGATACCCGGAGCCAACACAACGGAATTGAACTGGTGACCTCGGCCATAACAGCCAGATGCCTTACCACTGCAACCGTGACTCAGTGTTCAAAACTGAAGCCATACCGGTCGTGACATTCAGCCCACCCCAGCGCGGTTGCAACAAGGACTTACACGTCAGCTCGTACACTGTTGGTGCATTTTATCAATGTTCAGCCAGACCGATACCCGGAGCCAACACAACGGATGGTTTAAGATTGCCGTTCCGGAACTCGATTTCTCCGGTCACAGCTTTACCTGTTTCTCCATCTGAGCCAGTCATCAGCTAGGCAACCTATGCTCGACTCCAGTCTCCAGAAAGCCAATCTTTCAAGAGTTGCAACTTTGTCCTTTGTCATCTTCTTCAGCTCAATGCCTTTCCAGTTTTGCACCTAATTTTGACCGAGCCTCGAGGTTATTTTGGCCATCTGCCTACTTCATAGCTGTCCATGGTTTCTGGGTAGCTTCTCTTTCACATCTTCTGCAGATGCATCACCTCCTAAACCCCAAAACCCGATCGGAAAACTACCTTCTACTGAGTTCCAAACACAGAGGCAACACACACGGGAAGTTAACCTGATATGTTGATGCCTTCACTGCTGGTTGTGAATCTGTGCAGCTGTTCATGTTCTTTGTTCTGCGATACGGGGGAGTACCTGGCCGTCCATGGCACAAAAGATCCAGTGATGGAAAGTCTGACCTTGTGAGTTACAGGGAGTTGGTTGGCAAAGTCCGTGACATGGTTTCACACGCGCCGGAAACCGTACACTGGCGGTAAGTGGAAGGCAGTGCAAGCAGCATATAGGAAATGGGAAGTGTAGTGGACATTGAATTCATGGTTCAAACAGGGCTGGTCCCCGGGTGACCCAGGCTGGCCTTGGTACCCGGGTGGGCCTAGCCAGCCAGGTGAGGTCCGTGCGGGGTCCCAGGCAGTCCCAGGGCTTAGAACATTTAAAAATTAAAAAATTGTCAAAAAAAATTGAAAATATCAAAAAATAAGAATAACAAACAGAATGTGTGGTGGAATTGGAATTGCAATATACACAACTTTGGGCCAAGGGTCTCTTCGAAATTCCTTAACCAATTCCAAGTTAAAATTAAAGTAGGAAATAAGAGTTAAGGTATGCCCCTGTAAATCCTGTTCATGCCCCCCCCCCCCCCCCCCAAAAAAAAAAAATCCCCTTTTGGCAAACCATTGCCGAACTCGAAGATAGTAAAGCCAGAGTCCGACTGCTCTTGGTGAGCACAGTTGGACCCCGTTTCAGAAAAAGTGAAAGAAAAAGAAGTTGAAAAAACACAGTATTCGACCACGTTTTTGCTCAAGCGTTTTTCCAGATGAACCCCCTGGTCCTGCTTCCCCTGGTAGCAATAATGGAAACATTTAGCACACATGAAAAGAAGGGCTGAAGAAACCAGTCCATAGGGGGTTAAGGCACAGGGTGTGTCAAAGCATAGACTATTTTTTCAAGGCGTAAATTGTTTTTCGAAGTTTGGCCATAAATGATGATTCACAATTGTGCTTTTCTGAGTCTACGTATGCAGTTGGGTGGAAAAAGGGCTGATTCCTGTGACAGTGTAAAGCTGTAAACACACTGTCCAGTATGCGCACGTTATCTGCCTCGGCCACCGAGAGCACACAGTGGTGCCCACCACATGGTCCACAGCACCTGTGCACGTCCAAGGCTGAGTTGGTGCGCATGCATGGAGAGATCGTGCACTGCACAGCAGGCGGCACAGCGCACCACACAGGTGCGGCGCAAGTGTGCATCCTAATGGTGCGAAGTCGTTTTCTGTGCGGCCGACTCAGAATAATGTTTCAGCTCTTCTGAGGTGAATTGTGGAAGTGGTTGTAAAGAAGGTGAAAGAGTAAACACGCGATGCCTATCACAAAGTGAAGGAGCAAGCATGTAATGCCTGTCACAATCTGGTATCCTAACTCACTTGAGTCACTTTTGTATTTGTTGGAGTATCTCTTTTGCGGAGTTTGCTGGTTAAAGTTGTTTGACTTCCAAGGTTAAAGTTGTTAGACTTCCATAACATGCGTGTAGAATCCACTTAGAGATGGATGATTGACCTTGCAATAATGCGTGGGAATGATTTTTCCAGTTCAAGGGGCTAGTCCCTGGGCTGATGATTGGATTGAGTGGAGTCGGGGTATACAGTCCATGCTGCACTGAAGTGAACTGTTCTTTTTTTTTTCCACACGGCACTCCATTTTCGTCCTACCCTAATTCCCCCTAACGCGCTGAAGTGAACTGTTCCTCACCAGATTGCATCATAGATGGGTATAAGCTATCAATGCAATCTGGTCATGAATGTACACAAGGTATCTTTCCGGTGCGATGCAGGCAAGATGACCGGTCATTGTGTTTGTGGGGAAAATGGTAGGTGGAAGTGTTCTTTTTTTTTTCCACACGWCACTCCATTTTCGTCCTACCCTAATTCCCCCTAACGCGCTGAAGTGAACTGTTCCTCACCAGATTGCATCATAGATGGGTATAAGCTATCAATGCAATCTGGTCATGAATGAACACAAGGTATCTTTCCGGTGCGATGCAGGCAAGATGACCGGTCATTGTGTTTGTGTGGAAAATGGTAGGTGGAAGGTTGCAAGTGCGACTCGTAGTGCTTGAACTTCAACGAATCTCCTTTGCAGAGAGGAAACTATGCCACGTTTGCACGACAAACGGCCGAGCAGGTGCACTACAAGCTGAGGTGGTGCAGACCCAAGCTGAAATCCAGATGCTGAAACGGTTTTCACCTTCTTGCAGTAGCAGACGCATATCCCAGGGCTCGATCCCTAGTCCTTACCCCACCGTGTACAGTACCTGTGTAGACCCCGAGAGTTAAACACGTGACCTGTGTACTACTAAGCAGCTGTCATAGGTCTGTAGGTCGTAGGGGTTTGATCTGTAGGTCTGTCGAATAGAGGTCTTAGCGAAGTCTAGAAGTCTTAGCTGTAGCCTTCTTGAAGGTCGGCAAGTGGGCAAGTGGTGAATCAAGTGGTGGACGAACTGCAGAGCGATTGCAGTACGACTTTAGTAGGTTAGCAGTGAGTCCCTAAGCAGTCAGCGGTAAGGTCCATCAGTCCCAGTCCAGTCCAGCAAGTACCGCGAGGGACTGTGAGCACCATGGGCCGATGGGAAAAGGGCAGACCAACGAGCTTCAGAAGTATAAATCAAGAGGCAGCGCTCAGTCATTCATTGATTCCTGCGTGAGCCATGCGGAAGCGCTGCCACAGCGACTTGTGCAAGGAGGTCTGCAGTGAGCCCGGAGCTGAAGTGGGCGAGAGAGAAGGAGCGTAGCATAGCGATAGGGTAGTTGCGGCCATAGCCGCCATAGCTAGAGTTAGCGTGTAGGGTGTGTGTGTGAGTGCAGAGTAACGCGTGTGGGATATCCAGGGTGATCCGGGGTATGCGAACAGAGTTGTTTGGGCGCTGAGTCGCCATAGCCATTGAAAGTGAACTCGTATCTGGGTTGCCATATCTCTGAGTTTTGAGTGGGCGCATGTCGCCAGTTTGCTGCGCTACTGTTTGCATGCATGAAAAGTGTGAATGAAAGCGAGTCTGATTGCAATGCAGTTGAGAGGGGGAAAAAAAAAAAAAAAAAAAAAAAAAAACAGAGTGTAGAATCCTGCTTGATTGTGTGAACGTATCCGGTGCTCGTCTTTCTGCAGGTATACATTGATGGCTAATACCACACTCATGCTTTTAGTGGCCCCTGAGTACACAGCGTCCCAGGTTGGAGGCCAGGAGCTGCGCAGAGAGCTGGCAGGTGATGATCATGCAGTATACCATTTTCAAATTTTCATCTCTTCCAACTTCCAAAGGATCTTATGTAGGGAATGTGTAGGAGAGTGGAAAAATAAGTCGCTGAAATTGAAACAAGTCCAAAAACCAGTGACTACAGCTAATGATCTTGCATTCACACGTCGTCATCCGTTTCTTTTTTTTTGTATTTAAAGTTAAAAGTAACTTTAAACCACCAGTATGTTTCCCAGCCATTTTTTCAGAGCCGCGTTGTGCATGCTGCGGCGACTCTCGGGAAGTATCGAGGCGCCTTTTTGCGGCACATCCATACAGGCAAAACGGTTCACATGCGAGGCCTGTTTTGCCTGGATGGATGTTCAGCGAAATGGCACCCAGGTACTTTCCGAGAGTCGCGGCAGCATGTACGCCATGACTCTGAAAAAATGGCTATGGCTGGGAAACGTACTGGTGGTTTAATGGATCTTGTGGAGCATCGTGCACTCTATTTGTTCATCTGTTTTCTTCTTTTGAGTGTTTTAATTTTTTCCGAAGCATCTTTCGTAGGGAATCCGTAGGAGAATCAAAAGAAGAAAGCAGGATGTGAAAGATGTCCGTTAAACCACTGGTACCTTTGTCGGTTCGAAAATACTGGGCCTCCAGCCTTTCAGGAGAGGCCGAAATGAAACGACAACCGCCGATCCGATTTATCAACAGCAGCCATTGTTGGGCCCGGCCTCCTGAAAGTTCGGAGGTATACCAAAACTTGTCGAAACCGTACGGCAAAGGTACTAGTGGTTTAAGCCAAGAGACGGTGAGTGTTTCCCTCAACAAGGACGGGAATAGTCTACAGACTATGTGAACATATATAATTAGGTGAGCATTTCCCTCAACAAAGGACGGGAATAGTCTACGGAGGAGTCTGGACTATGTGAACATATATAATTTAGGCTACCTACTCTCAGGTGGGTCCAACCCGATTTTTTTGTTGTTTTTTAAAAGAAATCATTGTTAATTCACAACCACAATGAACTACAGCACTAGACCCATTGTGACTTTTCTTGCAAAGAAGCAGTACTTTTTTGTTGTTTTTTTTGGTGATTGTTCGCCAATTTCTTTGACTACGATGTTCAAAATTTTTGGATTCATTTTTAAGATTGAGAACATTCTCAATTGACTATGAAAATGGATTGAGCCCCTGCTGGTCAACGTTTGGCAAATTTGTTTCTCTGTAACTGTCCCTGCGTTACAAGCTCGCACGTTCTACAAATGCGCGTGCACTCCACGTGCACTCTCTCGTTTGCCCTCTTCCGCTTTCGCTAACGTATGAGATGCATTGAGAATAAAATTTCGTCTGGCCTTCATTATTGGAATGTTTATTTCACTCTGTGCATGTACTTAATAACACCCCTCCATCTGTTCCCTTTGCAAAGACGGCTTGCTGCGAAGCACTGCCCCTCACCTTGGCTCCCTTCTGCCCCTTCCCCCACCACTGGCCTCCTTGTGTGCAAAGCACCTTTCAGAACCCTTGCATGAAAAGCATCTTACAACTCAACCTCCCCCTCTCCCCTCCTCCCCTCCTCCTCCCTCCCTGCCTGCATGCAAATCTTCCTGCAACCTTCTGCCAACACTCATGCTCTGATTCGCTGCCACTGTGCAGAATTCCCCCTCGACTCCCTAGCCCGCATGCATGCAAAGTATCTTGCACCCCCCCCCCCCCCCCCCCCCCCCCCCCCCATTGACAGTCCCCTCCCACCCTAAACCCCTGTGATCCCACCCCTTGGCATCCCCCATGCAAAGCACCTTGGAGCTGCCACTGATACTGCATGAAAGCAGGTTACGATCTCCCTCCCACACCGCTCCTTCAGGTTACAATCTCCCTCCACACGGCTCCTTCCCCTGGATGTCTCCACAACTTGTGTGCATTCCGTCGTGCAGCGCCTTTGACATTTCCCCCGGCAAAGCATCGAGCAACCAGTCTTTAAACCGCTAGTACGTCACCCAGGTAAAATTTAGAATCGAAAATGACTTGAAATGAGTCAACTGAAAAGCTCGGGTGAATGGTGTTACTGCACCAATGTTATGTACCCGATTGAACTTCACTCCACAGCGAATTCACACGTTCCCATACACGCATGCAATTGCAGAGTAGACTCGGAAGGAGGCAAATCCACACAAAACCGGAGAGAAGATACGTACAGCGGAAGCTCAAAATACACAGAGAATTGAAAAACGAATTTCAATCCTGCAATCCCTCGTCCTCCTCCAATCAATCCAAAGTACTCGTTCCAAGAATCACAACCGCGTTTACAACAACCCCGAACAACCAGAAATAAGTGTTCAACGAAGTATGCAGGAGTCTTCTTCTTCCTCCTCGCCACCTCATACCCCTGGCTATGGCTGGCGTAGCAGCAGTAACCCCACAGCTGTCACAACGTGCCAATCCGAACCAGCAACCCTAATGATAACAGCGCCAGCTTAGCACCCGCACGGAAGTGCAGCGCTGGAAGTGTTGATGAAGAAGGAGACAACCGATCCAGCACTTCGAAGAAGACTTTCCTCGAGAAGAGGAACAGCAGATATGGCTGCCAAGTGGAAAATGGCAGCACCCAAACCCAACAACACAGTCCTGTGGAAGCTCTCATGCAGAGCTGCAAAATAGCAGCAGTGCGATCTTCAACTTCGTTTCTCAACCCCAGCTATGGCTGGGCTTCAAGGAAGAAGATGACCTCGCCCAAAATAGAGCAGCAGCGCTCCAGCAACAGACGGGCAGAGTTTTCCCAGCCAACGAAAACGTGAAAAAGACCAAAACCAAATTCCCTGCCCGCTAACTTCTACCGTCTGCGTAGACCTACCACGGACTCCAAAGGCAACAACCCAATACTCATCTGCATCTAGATGGAAACAGGGGGAAAAGGGGACCTAGACCTATGACAAGGCAAAAGGAAAAGGCCGAATGGCCTAAGGCTACCAAACAGAGACTAGTAGTGACAGACTTAGGGATCAATCCCATAGGGCTCAAAACTAACAAACAAAACATACAAATTACAGGTCACGGTCCCGCCAGGCTCAGAACAAGAAAACAAACTGCAAAGCCAAACACTTAGTGTACAGCCCCACTCAAAAACAAAACACACGACTTACAGGTCACGGGACCAAGTCCCGCAAGGCTCAAAACAAAAAAAACAAACTACGAAGCCAAGCACTTAGTGTACAGCCCCACTGGGAAACTGCGATTTATTGCACCAAAATGGCTGGCAGTCCCAGCCGAAAGGCCCAAAAGGAAAAAAAAGGCGCTGCGCTGGTCCTGCGGCAAAGCTTGGCGAGCAGGGTTATACCACCAGTACCCCGCCCAGCCAAACTCTTTTCACTTCCTGAATTTTCAAGGAAGGCGTCGATAGCGTCGGTAGAGGCTTGGTCCAGCCTCGGCGGTCGCTCATTTTGAAAACGGAAATGAGCGACCAGAGAAGACAAGACTGAAAACAACAACAACAACAAAAAAGAGAACAAAAGCGAAGTTATGGGGGGAAAAAAGTATGTCTCCCTCTGATAACAGCGCGGCTGGTGTGCTGCTGTTCCCAAAATGGCGCGGCTTCTGGCGCATCTGTCATCCTTTCTGCTGTGCTTGCCGAAGTGCAATCTGAAAGTGGAAAATGAAAATGGATCTTCCTTAGATCACGGAAGAATACAGATAAGATCAGTGCGGCCCTGCAATGAATCTTTCATAGAGTACGGGAGATTACAGAGAAGATCAGTATGGCCCTGCTGGAAGGATGACACGGATGAACCGAGAAATGTAAAAAAAAGAAGAGAAAAAACAGACGTACAGCACATTGATTTTTGTCCTTTAGTGCTGGAACCTCCTCCTACGAGATTCGCCTGGGGCCTTGCTGCCCACACGCATAAATCTAGAAATTGAGCCTCGCTCCACTGCTCTCCACAGGCACAAAGGACAAAAAATATGACGGTGTGTAGTTCCATGTTCTAGTGGAAGATTCATTTCATTCTCGTTTTGCTAATTTGGAGAGTAGTGTCCAAAATGGGCATGGCTGCACTCCTTACCAAATGTGCAAAATGAGAATGAATCTTAAGCTGCAACATGGGCAGATACACAGCTACATTTTTGGCCTTTCATGCATATCGAGAATGGTGCAGAGAAGTCCAAAGAAACGAGAAAAACAGTCCCACCGACGCCCACGGCTTTTGTCGTTTGTGCTTAGCGCTGAGTGTTGGAGCAAGGGCCCTCGTCATACAAGATCTGCAAGCTGCCTTTCTGCACGGGGTTCGAGAATGGTGAACCGAGAATGGATCTACCCTTGGAACACAGAATTATACAGCGAAGATCAGCATGGCCCTCCATGAGAATGACGACTTATGGCAGTCGTGCCCTGACAGCTCTCCAACGACAAGCGCCTTCGACGGCACTTTTGGAGTAGCAGCTGCCCAATGGGAGAAAAGAAAACGAAAGGAATACAGAAAAAAAGGGAAAAAAAAAAAGACAAAAGAAGGACGGGAAAAAAAAAAGGAAAACAACTGGGACAGAAATACTGGTTGCCAGCGTTGAAGGACTGGCCGCCCACCATGTCACTACCACTTTCCAGCCGTATTCCCGAAAGACGAAGAGATTCGGTAGCTTGCTAAAAGCAAGGTCCGGGAAGGCTGCTTCGGGGGTGCTGGTGGTTTAATCTGCCTCAGCGAAAAGAGGCTCAGATCAGAGGTGGGCAATTTTCTTTTTTTTTTGTCGGACCCATGACCCGACCCGGCCAGTTTTCTTTGGTTCCGCAAACAACCATGCCCAAGCATTTTATTATCTGCCTCAAGCCAATCCGACTGATTAAGTTTTCTTCCAAAATTTAGACCCCATTCCCAGCTCGCCCGCCACCCAAAGAAAAACCTCACCAACACCCGCCCACACCCTTGAGAACATCATTATCTACCCGCACCCAGGACCTAACGTTTTCTCGCCCACAACCCCCCGTGCCAGTCCCTTAGACCATTACAATTTCACCCGAGCTCTCTCTCTCTCTCTCTCTCTCTCTCTCTCTCTCTCTCTCTCTCTCTCTCTCTCTNCTCTCTCTCTCTCTCTCTCTCTCTCTCTCTCTCTCTCTCTCTCTCTCTCTCTCTCTCTCTCTCTGTGTGCACTAGAAGCTTGCTGTACCACTGCCAGCTGGCCCACGTAGCCCGCCAATAGTGCCACCATCCTCCTTTCATCAGTATGCCTTGCCAGTAACCTGGCCCATCAGTATGCCTTGCTAGTAACCTGGGGCCAGGGGCACAAATTCTCTGTGTATGTGGCAAATTTGGAATTTGGAGCGAATCTAGCCACCTATGGCGGTTAGATTCGCTCCTCTTTCTTTAAGGGTAGAAGGTCAACCATGGACTGTGGAAGGGTGCCTTTTTTTTCGACTCTTTTTGGGGCCTGGGCAACTGGACCAGTCCTTTTTTTCTTGCATATCTCAGGGCCTGCACAGCTGGACGCATGCCCTTTCTTTTTTGTTTTTTTTTTGGGGGGGGAGAAGTGGGGAAGGAGGGAAGGGGGAGAGGGGCATATTTTGTGGCTGGTTCTGGTTCTGTGGGTGGGGTGACCCAGGCCAAAACTTCACCCACCCATCACCCACTCCCCGCGTGACCCAGACCAAATCATCACCCGCCTGTCATCCACAAAGGCAGGCCAGGTACACTCACCCGTGACCCACCCAAGCCGGCTTAGGTAGACCCAGACCCGACCCCATCACATTGTGGGTCGGGTGGGTGCAGATGTGTGTGGCTCGAGGCACCGGGTGCCGACCTCCGGCTTGGATGTACTGGTGGTCAAACAGTATGCCTCTCTCCCTCCATTGCATGTAGAGCATGTTGAACCCTGGTTCAGTACTCCTTACTTGGCCTTCAAGCACCAGTACATAGCCCCAGGCAAGTTGAGAGTCCGATTGAGCCGCTCCTTAAATTGTGGAGCCTCGCACGCCGTCGATAAAATAAATTGACAGCAGGCCGCCTCCGAAAGGGGCCGGCGGCCGGCATGTACTGCTGGTTTAAGCTTTTTGCCATCCAACTTCACTGTTTGAACTAATTCCGTTGAGCACTCTTTTCCTGTCTTGCGACCAATCACCTCTTGTTTGTGGAAACTCTTGTTTGTGGAAAGTAACTTTATGAAACCCCTGTGCATACCGTTTCTCATTTTTTTTTCCTTAATGTCCTATGGCATGGTAAAATTGCAGATCATTTTTTATCAAGCTTGGCCAGCGATTTGCCTCCCTTGCGGCCACTGGCTGTCATTGCTCTTCTAGTGCTGATTCAGAAATCTCCAGCAGATCAATCTCCACCCATGAGGCTTTCAACGTCTGATCCCTCTGGCAAGCCTTGGAATATCTCAATTCAGGAGGAGGAGCATAAGGGTCACCAGCTGCCTGACATGGAAGGTGGAGAAGTAGCATCATCACACGGCGGAGCACAGCTCCATCGCCAGCAACTGTGTGAAACGCTCATTAAGGTGATCCAACGGGAGGGCTTTCCAGGTACTATGTTGAGCAATTTGGCCCTCGATCATCACTTGGCTGAGGGTGCTGCTGGCGCCGGTGACAGAAGTACTGGCCAAGCACGCACATCGCGGGCTGCTGACCCTGGAGCTTCATTATTAAGAGCCCTTGGCATCTGGACTTTGGTTATGGAATGGCCCCGGAGTAAAAACAGGGATTCCTTACATGTTGGGACTGTGTTTTCGCTGCCGACCGCAGAGTTTTGGGAGCGTCTGATGGACATGTTTGCCGATTTCAGCAGTGCAGTGGGACAGGATGAGGTGCTGCTCAACGCCATACGCGAACCTCTAGAGGCCGCGATCGCCACGGTCGATGATCGACAAAAGCAATGCATGGCTGCAGAGGTGGTGGCCGGCCTGCTGCACAGTGGTGGACCTGCGGTTGTTCGAGCCTGGGGCTCTTGGCTCCGCTCAACTGTTACACAGGCGCTCCAGCAATGCACCGTCGAGCTGATGAGTGAGTGGGCTGCATGTGTCAGGTATATCGCCACTGGGAAGGGTCAGTGTGGGTTGACCCCACCGAAACTGAGGCGGGAACTGGTTGTGTGTTTAATGGAGCCTGTACCAGCGTCCGCAGGATCGGGACAGATTGTAAAGAGATTGGGACTTCTTGGTGCCTGCCTTGGTGAGATGATGGTCCCTCCAGCAGATGAAAGTGAAGATGATTTTGATGTTGCTCTGAAGAATGCCTTGCTTGACGAACTCCAAGAAATGATGAATAACTCAGCGAGGCAGGTAGGTGGTGTCTGCCACTCGCGTGCACAAGAGAATCCTCAAAGAAATGTTTTTTTAAATTCTGGTCGCATGATGTGAGAAAAATTCACAAATTATTTCAAGCAACACTTCGCAGCTGCAGTGTCCCGAAGTCGTGTTTGTCGAATTCATGAACTTCGTGTTTGTCGAATTCATGAACTTGAAACCTACTGAAAAATCAAATTTTTCGTTAATTTTTTTCTCTATATCTTTAGTGCACCACACACCAAAGAAAATGATGCACCTTCTTGTTTTCTGTTTTTGGCACTCCGCACAATTTCGCTGCACAGATATCGTCCAAGTATGAGTACCTCCCAGGCTGACTGCCATTTGTTTGTTAGAAGTATTTTTGACATGTTTCATGATTTTAAGATTGTCTTTCTCGCCTTCTCTTTTTCTATTTTTTTTGCGCAACGGTCTTGAGAAATGGTCTTGTGTTCACAATTGGAACAAAGCAGAGAAGATTGGCCTCCGTGCGAGGATGACACATACAAGTCTATAGAAATGGTTCCAAATTTCAAAGAAAAAAGCCAAGAAACAATGCAACACTTTTGCTGCACGCCCATCTCAACCTTCTTATGATGGCGCAATGTTATCGGCGTTGTCTCAGCAATGGGGCTCGCTGCACCATTTGTCAATCGCCAACATCACGAGTCACGACGACCAATACGAGGTCCAGATACGTTCAAATTTCAAAATGTCGGTGTTTGGCAAATGGTGTGGCGAGGCCCGATGTCAGCGTCATCGCAGCGTTTTGCCAGCGCCTCTTCCCCTTTTCAGAAGCTGAACGGAACTCCAAAGCAACCTGCTGAGCGCTGTTTGTCTGTCCGTTTGTTCCGGGGATCACCCGCGGAAACTCTGTGGTTTCTCTCCCTCCCCCCTCTGACAGGTGCGTGAAGCTGTTGGAAAGCTCCTGTCAATGCTTTGCGGAAAACTCTTGAAGAAGCAGTTGAAGGCTGGTAACAAGGACGAGGAGGCTTTGGTCGCCAAAGTCAATGCCTTTTGCAAGTTTCTAGTAGCTAGGGCTTCTGCCTTGGCTGTTAAAATACAAGCACTGGGTAATCGCCGGATGACTTCAGGACCAGGTACCTCGCGATTGGGAACGACCGATGTGGTCGATGAAGACATGGGGATGGGGAGTTCTTCCGAAGATGGGGATGGTCAAGAAGCATTCCGATGGATGGAAACGGTGAGAGCATTTAAATTACATGCAGTAATTGATTATAAGTTTTATGACTGGTCATGATTCGACAATGTGAAAGTGAAAAGACAAAAAAAAAAAAAAAAACTGGTTTAAAGTGGTTTTGCAATTCAGCAAAACCGTCAAAAAGATGTACACTTGATGTCACTTCATGTAAAGCACACCATATGAGGACTTGCTCGCTAGGAGGACTGTGTGCGAATATGCCAAAACCGAGGCAGCCTTTTGGCCGCCGCAGCATCACCCTTCTCCCTCGTCGACGTGTGTGGTATAGTGTGTGCTGCCTTTTTATTTTTATTATTTGTCTTCTTTTACCTCGCTCTAGCTACCTATATCTAGCAATATCCCACCTGCAAGCTCTACCCAGCTAACTACAGCTTAGAGGCATGTTCTACATTTTAGGGATGTTGGAACGGAGCTTATAGATTCACCAGCCAGGACTAAAGCTTATAGATTCACCAGCCAGGACTAAGTTATCCTAAGGTTATGGGTCTACGCCTACCTGTTTCTGCTCTGTGCAGGGAGCAGTACCCAAGCTCCTAACACCCGGCACAACCATAAAGTACTTCACAACCAGCCAGGCGGCCCAAACCAACAGTCTCGGCTGGTGAACCCGAAGCACACCCCCAGGAGGCTGCGGGGATCAAAAGGACGACGTTGGGTATCGAACCCATGACCTCTTGAGTGCCACTTACTTTGCTCAATCAACTGAGCTAGCCCAATTGGGCGCTCGTTTTTATTATTTTTTTCGATATGGACTCTTGGAGTTTTTTTTTGCATGCTGCCATTTAGAATATAGATGAGAGCATCTCATCCTCCTTTCTATAGCTTTGCGTTTCCAAGTTTTGCAACTCGTCTTATCTTCATGTCAATTTCAATCGTCTTTTTTTCATGCAATTCCATCTCCTGCCCTGTGTAGCATCGTGTTCGGGTTCGGTGACCGAACCTGAACGTTCGTGACCGAATGCGGACGAGGGCCTACACCCTCCGAACGCGAACATAAAAATATTAAACAAAGAAAAACTCAGAAAAATCTGAAAAAAATAGATGTTATGTAATAAAATAATAATGCAAACAACTTTTGCCTGGGAGGTATGCTCGAATTCGTAACCAAACTCTAGTAATATACCCTCCGAATGCGAACATAAAAATATTAAACAAAGAAAAACTCAGAAAAATCTGAAAACTAAACAGTTTGTCACAGCCCCTCGTTTGTTGTCCTCTTCTCCCTCTCTGCCTACGGTTTACCGGGCAGTTCTATTTGACGATATATGTTATGTAAAATAAGAATGCAAACAACTTTTGTCTGGGAGGTATGAAGAGTAAAAAATAAACCCCCCTTTTTTTCTTTTAAATTTTAATATGTTTGACCGAACTCATTCGGGAGGTGTTCGGCCGAACACCGGAACATGTTCGGGTGCTCGGAAAAGCTCCAAACATGCTCGGTGTGCTACACAGCTCCTGCCTAAGCCACTCAACCACTCGACCGATTGCACGAGTAACATGTTAAAACTTGACTTTTCTTTTCTTGTTTCTTTTTTTCCTTTTCTCAGTTTTCTGTTCCTTTTTTTTTTTCCCCTTTTCATTTGTTTCTCCGAAAAGTATCTCTTTATTACTGGGGCCCCGTGCCGAAGGCATAGTACACCAAAAGGAAGGAAAAAAGACCAAAGCGAGCGAGGCACAGCCGAGTAGTCCTGCCCTGCTGAGAGCCCAGAGCCCAATCCCTGCAAAAATGCACAAAAAATTTGAAAAGTAAATTGGACCATTTCTCGATTTATGCGTGTCATCCTTGCGCAGGGGCCATGCTAATCTACTCTGTATCGTTCCAATTTTAACGGATGTCCCGAAGGACGAAAAGTAAATTGTGAAAGCCTGGCAAGAACTTGGCTTACAGAAAAAAAAAAAAAAAAAAACCTTCTATAACTTCGCTTTTCAATTTTGCCAATTCCTCTTATTAAATTAAATAAATTTCATCCTTTTTTAACATCAACTTCATCTTCTCTGTTATGTAGGTTTGTGACTCAGCTTGTCTTTCATTGCCCACGTACAAAATTTCAGCGCGTAGTATGTGCGCCGCAGTGTGCTGTATATTTCAAGCTCCTTTGTATTGGTACATGCAGTATCTAGCGATGACCTATCAGTAAAAGTCATTGGGATACGAACCTGGGATGTGGCAGATTTCTGTGTTATCCCCATGATTCCGCAATGCCTCCACAACGACACATTTCTATGATTCATGCTCCTCCTTCAGACTATTTACTCCTTTTTTCCGGGAGCGCCATCTGCAAATGCCTTTCTCAGATTTCTCTTCTTCAATGTCTACAGTTCT